TACCTGAAAGCTGCTAGCTTAGGAGGAACAGCTGCTAGTTGCGTTCAAGGACTTCTGTTATCGCCAAAACATTATGATTCAGCAATTCAAATCTTACACGACCGTTTTGGAAGGAGAGACATTCTTATTAATGCACACATGAATAATTTGCTGAATGTTGAATCATTAAAATATGCGAATGACATAAAAACATTTCGTAACTTGTATGATAAAGTACAAACACAGATTAGACGTCTCGAAGCGTTACATGTTGCATCGGAATCTTACAGCGCTTTGCTGTGTCCGATGATTTTGAAGTTATTGCCTTCAGAAATAACGCTTGAATTTCATAGAAAACAAAATGTTGGCACCGATTATAACATAAAAGATTTAATGTCATTTTTAGACGCAGAGCTTTCATCCCGCGAACGCACAAGGTCAATGGTTTCGCAGCAGCAAAAAGTATCCGATCGGCGACAGTCTCCTCCCCCCCCGCAACGAAAAGCGCACGTGGTATCACAAATAGACATAATAAACCGAAGATTCTGATCGCTACAGATTTGTTTACAAAATCCGAATGCAGGGAGGAAAATATGAATTGCGTCTTCTGTAATCAATTTCACAAGATTTATGACTGTAGTTCCATTTCAGACTTATCATTACATGAAAAAAGGGACATTTTAAGAAAAAAATGTGTTTGCTATAAATGTCTAAAACCACATCATTTAGCACGAAATTGCAGAACAAAAATAACTCGTTCTACTTGTAAAAAACAACATGCAACTATTACGAGTGATAAACAAAATCCTTCTGTCGAGGTTTCGAAAATTAAAAAAGACGAAGAGATAGAAAATAAAGTACTTTCAAATCAAGCAGGATGTTCAGAAGTATATATGCAAACTTTAGTTGTTCACATATATGGAAGAGGGAATAACCAATTTGTTTGTGCGCTAATTGACACCAGAAGTCAAAACTCAGACTTACGCAGGTATGCAGCAGAAAGGTTACAATTAAGAAGCTTGGGTGAACAAAGTGCAACCCACAGACTTTTCGGTGGCATAGAAGTTTCGGAAAAACATAAACGTTATAGAATAAAATTAGGTAGCATAGATAAACGGTATAATTGCAAAATCAATGTATTGGATGAAAGAAAAATATGTTCTTCAGTCCCTAAACTCAAAAATATACACTGGATTGGGGAACTTAGAAGAAGAGGAATTTACGTCAGTGATGTTTCTGAAAATGGAAATTACAGATTATTCCAGGAGAACCCCCATGAGATTCATTTCTTGTTAGGGGCATATGTTGCTGCAAATTTATTTACAGGTAAAATCAAAGCTCTTCCTTGGGGAAGATTAGTTGCTGTAAGTACAAGACTTGGGTGGACAGTCATAGGGAAAGAGAAACTGACAATTATGAAATAGAAAATTCCTTTTCCATGCTTTCGTTATCTTTACATATTTCTGATGCCACGCTGTCAGAAATGTGGAGGCTTGATGTTATCGGAATAACAGATCCAGTTACAAAGAAGGCTAGAGAGGAAAGGGTTTTGCAAGCAAAATTACAGTTCCAAAATTCTGTATCTCTAAACAAAAAGGGGGTGTTATGAAGTCGCACTTCCGTGGGCGGAGAATCATGTACCACTCTCCACCCACAAGGATTTAGCTTTAAAACACCTACAATCTACCTTTCAGAAACTTCTATCTCAAAATTTATTTTCTTCATACAATGCAGATTTTAATGACTGGTGTAACTTAGGAGTGATCGAAGAAGTTAAAGAAAATATAGCGGTTGACTATGGACATTATTTGCCACATAGACCGGTGATTAAAGAAAATAGCTCAACACCAATTCGACCGGTGTTTGATGCATCTGCGAGGAAACAATCGTCTATTCTCTAAATCAGTGTTTGAAGAGTGGACCAAATTTGATAGAACTAATTCCTTCTCTTTTGTTGAGATTTCGGGAAGGCAAGTTTTCTGCTATAGCAGACACTGAGAAGGCTTTCTTACAGATCAGTGTAAAGCCTCAAGATAGAGACTGGCTTCGGTTTTTCTGGTGAAATGATGTGGAAGAAAAGAAAACGAAAATATTTCGTCATACTAGAGTAGTATTTGGGGTTAAGAGTAGTCCTTTCCTTTTGGCAGCTGTTATAGAATTCCATCTACAAAAGTACATGAAAAATTCTTCATTATGATACGGAGATGACAGCTAAACTTTCGCGCAGCTTCTACGTAGATAACGTTGTTGCCAGTTTTGACAAAGAATCACAGATGATCCAGTTCATCGAAAAATCTCGAGAAATAATGTATGAAGGAAAGTTTAATCTTCGAGGTTGGTTACATAACGTAGATAACTTGAAACAGGAAACTATTTCACCCGTATTGGGTCTGTTATGGAACTCTCAGAAAGATAATTTAACTTTGAATCTGAATTGACTAGAAGGTGTTGGTGTATTTAATTATGGCAAAGCACACTAGGGCTATCTGCCTAAGGGGAGGGATGATTTCGTTGAGGACTTTCTAAGGGAAACTGGCTTGTATACACGTTACACATGGGGAAAACCATGAAAACGCCCATGCAGACAGCCCGTTCGCGGGGATTCGAACCTCGACTGAACTACCAGTGTTCAGTGACTTTACCGCTCAGCCGCTGGTGGGCGAATTGGCTAGAAGATTTTGAAATGGATATAATAACAAAGAGAACAATTCTCGCCGTAACACACAAAATATTTGATCCTATTGGAATTGTGAGTCCTGTTCTCTTGTATCCTAAAATATTGTTGCAGAACTTATGGAAAACAGGAATTTCTTGGGATACTGAAGTCGATGAGAGTACAAAACAAAATTTTGTGAATTGATATAAAAGCCTTTTTCTCTTAAAAGAAATATCCCTCCTACTTTGGATACATTCCAGAAAGGACAAAGAAGTTCTGCAGCATTCACACCTTCTGTGATGCCAATGTGTATGCTGCTGCAGTTTTCTTGAGAACTGTGACGAATTCTGGAGTTGAAGTTCATCTGCTGGCATCGAAGTCTAGAGTAGTTCCCGTGAAATCTATTACGATCCCTCGTCTGGAATTGATAGCTGCCACGATAGGTGCCAGACTATGCTCTTCTGTTTTAAATGGTTTACAATGGCAAAATGTGGAAATGCATTTTTGGACAAATTCTACAACAGTTTTGACATGGAAGAGATTGTCTGGGCTGTCTTTGTGGAAAACATAATCAGGGAGATTAGGAAACTGACGGATCCAAAAATGTGGAAACACATTGCTGGAACAAAAAATCCAGCTGACCTCCCATCAAGAGGTTGCACCGCCAAACAACGTTTAGTAGTTAAATGGTGGGAGGGCCCCGATTGGCTGAAAATGTGTTAAGATCGATAGATTGGAAGGAAATAGAATGTCATTCAACTAGTATGAGAGTACAGTGGAAGTTTAATCCCCCAACTGCTTCATGGCGGGGCGGTTGGTGGGAGAGGTTGGTACAAACCGTGAAGAAGATGTTGAGAAATGTTCTCGGAAAGTCCTGTGTCTCTTACGAGGAAATGTTGACTATACTTTGTGATATCGAATCAGTGATTAACTCAAGACCCCTTACGTACCTTTCAGAAGATCCAAATAATCTTACGGCACTAACTCCTTCAATGTTTCTACAAGATGTGCACGACGTCGGAGTGCCAGACTTAGACTACCTGGATATCACCAATCTGACAAAAAGATACAAGTTCTTGCAGAACTTAAGAGAACACTTTCGCAAAAGATTTCGTGATGAATATTTAGCTATCCCAGTGCAACGATCTACTCGGACTATCAACAAAAATGACTTGGTGTTTGTCGGCAGCGACAACAAGAGAATAGATTGGCCAGTAGGTCGTGTTGTAGAAATATATTCTGGGAAAGACAACGAAGTATGTGTTGTCAAAGTGAAAACTGCAACGGGATAACTCTTAAGACCTGTGAAACGTAATTATCCTCTCGAACTTGATAGACCTAACTTGTTTAGTGACTTCACCATGAAAAGAAAGAACTCTGCCGATAAGTGCGACAGTGTATGAACTATCAAACTAGATATGGATGTAAAACTGTAAAACCTGTTACATATTTTTAAATTGTTATTTTAATTTTTGTTTCTTTTCAGTGTTTTAGAAATTTAATTGTCCTAACAGTAGTCAATTGAAACATGTTATCTGGATATGGTATGAATGTAATGCAGAAAATGTTTAGATGTGTACTACTTCTTTGTAAGTATTAATTTTAGAGCATTAGTTACTTTTCATATTTGTGAAAGTTGTACTTGAATTTTTGTTTGATTATTGATAAATTTTGTTTTGATTTTTCCATCTTATCGAGGTAAAATCAAAAGGTGGGAGAATGTCCCATTCTTGCCACTAGATGGCGGGCATCTCTTCTTTTTCTCTAAGCAAGTTCTGAGAACGAAGCTAGATTTGGAACCGCTCTGAGGAGCGTAAAGACGAAACTTCAGACTCAGAAAACAATTAAAATGTACCGTCTTAAAATAATTATCACCTACCTTGTAAATAGTGTATATTAGTGTTTTATTTGAATAAATAAGTAAAAGACAAGATGGCCTGTTACTTCTAATAGAAACTCTTACTGGAAAACGTGATTATTAGAACCTGGCGTCGCGAACACTGAAGACGCAGCAGGTAAGGAATTTTACATTAATTTTATTGTAAATAGAAGAACCTGATGCAACATATGGTGTTTATGAATTCAAATTAACCTTCATGTTTACATACTGCTATCAAAATTAAAAAATACACAATGTAGGATTAATATTTAAAAAAAAAAAAAAGCTTAACACTGTTCAAAAGCTAAGATTATAAAAACATCCAGAGTGACTGCATTGACTTTAATTCTTACTTCTAATTTTCTCATAATGTTTCAAAATTTTTCTAGGTTTTTCTAATGCATATTTGAAAGCTATTGACAGATGCTAATATTATTATCTCTACATTAAAAAGGAAGTTCTCAGCAAATTCATATGATTACAAACCTGATGAACAAAGAGCGAAAATGCTTTAGTACTATCCCTTCCAGCATTAGGAGCGTGGTACATGTTCACCCATTCTCGCAACAGGAACTCAGTTTTTTCGGAAAGACCTGGTGGATCATCGAATTCTCTTGCTTGTGTTATTCCAGAATACATCATAGACATTGGACCTCCCCCAGTTGTACGATCTAAAAAAGCAGGTTCCCCAGTATTTCGAAGCATCTCTAAAAGTTGTACTAAGCTGAAATAAATGAAATTTTACGTTAAACTACTTTTACCGTAACTTCTAAAAATATCAGCATTTTAAAAATGTAAAACGTTTATATAAATATAGATTATAAGCGTTGTTTATACACAGCTTGTATCACTCACAAATGATAAATGGGTGGCGATCGGGCATAAGATGAAAAGGGGGGGGACCTTCTCAACTAAACCTGTTGAAACTAAAGCTAACTTCTTCTAGATTCAGAAATCATATACTATATGATCTACTGCTTTTGGTCAGCTGGGTTTAAAACTGTTGTTGGAACTGAGTTAAGATTCATAACTGCGACTATTTTTCTAAAGAATTCACTAAAAGAAAAATTGCTAGCTTAAAAAAAATATTTGAACAATTGTTAATAAAAGTATTTTTTAATAATCCTTTAAACACCTTTTTTAGCTTACTAAAATTATCAAATGAAATCAGGCTTGATATATATATATAAAAGTAAAAAAATTGCCATAAAACTATTTCCAAGCCTTTTATATGAGAAATTCTTCCAGCCAGTCTTAGATCACATATTATGTTGTTCTCAAAATGGTGGGCCACGTGCCGCTTCCCATAAATTAATTGGCATTAGTATGCGAGTTTTATGGCAAGAATTTATAGATTATATTTTAACCACTCCGAGTCCAATTTTATATGATTTTTGTTACTGTTACAAACAAACAAAAGTAGCACCCCCAAAAGATCTACAAATGGAGCAAATTTACTCTGTAATATGAATCTTGCTGAAAGATTTGAAAACAAATTCAATACTCTCAGTAACCATTTTTTGTAATAAGAATAATTGCTTTGTTTAGGAATACATTTTTGTCAGAAGGTTTTAACACCAGCACCTTCTGAAAGATAGGTGGTTGGAATTGTAGACATTTCCATAACACAAACCACATTATTAGATGAGGCACACTGAAATCAGAACTCGCATGATGCATTGATTTTGCAGGATTTCGTAAAAACTTTTTATTAACTTTTGCAACCACTTTGATTTTGGCTGCTATTCGTCCTTGATTTGTTTTCTTTTACTACCAGTCTTTATCTACCTGAAACTGCTTCACCCACTGTTTGACGGTGTGATGATGTAGTGGTTCTTTTTCAAGCCCAAATGTTTTTGTATGACAATAAACGATGGTATTTCAGTGCATTCCAAATCACAGTATGCTTTCTACTGCATGGATGATGCCATTTGATTAACAGTGCTTCTAGGAGCGACTTTGTAACTAGACTTTTTTTTTTTTTTTTTGCTGTTGCCAGACAAAACTTGTATAATTGTAGTTTCAGAATTAACTTGTTTTGACTTAATAAATCAATTACCTACAATGCTATTCTTTTTATCCCATTCACTATAAAACACCCTATAATAATAATAAAAGATAATACATTGGCTTTATTTATTCTCAGTCTAATCCCACTCAGAAAGTGTTTGTTATTTGTTTAGTTTTAGTTTAAATAATTTATTTAGCGGTTAATTCAACATTTATTGAAGAATGGACAAGAATTATTTGAAATAATGTCTGCAAATTTAGCTTTCAGATGCTAATCTTATATTCCAGAACAGAAAATAAATATAAATTGGAATTTTTTCCCCTTGCATTATTATTATTATTACTGCTTATGAATGTTTAAATAAATATTTTAAAATTACAATTTTAAATTTACTAAAAAATTTGCTTTGGTAAAAAAGTTTCATTTTGTAATAAATAAAATAAGATTTTGACAAAATTTGGCTTTTCAGCTGCTTTCAGATTGTGCATTTGACCCACAGACAATTTGAATTTGAGATCACTGCCATAATATATCATGAACCAAATTTTTTTAACTCAATTATCGAAAATATTACATAAGTTAAACCTCCCTTGAACAAATAGTCTATTTTCTTTGCAATTCTTCTAAAGTCATAATCTGAAATTATCTCCAGGCCATTCAGGTCATATGATCCAAGTCACTTCTATTGAAACCTTAAACGTAAAGTAATCTGTACTTCTGCAATACTCTGGATCATTTGAACTAATCATACTTTAGTTATTGGAGGCATTTGAAAATTTATTTCACTAGAACATGTAATTAATATTAGAAATAGTATCTAAACTTTTCTTAAGAAAACAGCGGCATTTATCTGTTAAACATATTAATTTCAATTAAAAAATATTAACTAAGATCCTTTAACACTGAATGAAAAACTAGATATATTTTAAGAGAAAAATTGAGTTGCACATAATTTGGAGTTTGAGCTCCCATCTGAGTACATAACTGCCATTCCGAAATATTTTAAATATAAGATGCAGTCAACAAATATGCAGCAAGAAAAACACAACTGAAATTGTTCATTAAATAAGAGAATTAGAACATGGCTGCTGAAAAGAAAACTATGATATTTGTATTAAATATTACATCTGATGTGTATTCATAATTTAAAGTTTTCTTTTCCTTTTTGTTTCTTCAGCAGAAGGTTTATTTTCTTAAATTAAGTTAAAAAAGAAATTATGACATTAATACCTAAAACCAAAAAACTTAAAAACATAGTAAGGTGCAGCATGCGCCTAACGAAAGCCAAAAGTAGGGGGGGGATGTTAAAGAAACAAATCTGATATCAGTTATTATTAAATGAAATTATATTGCTATTATTAAATGTTAATTACAGTCAAAAGTCGTTAATCCAGACTCGTCGGGACTTCGGCGATTCCGGATTATAGATCATCAGTTTAAATCTGGTAAGATGGCATGCAGAAATTATAAAATTAAAAATATGAAACCGTAATTTATGAAATACGGAACAATTATGATCTAAAGGGTATGACATTAATACCTAAAACGAAAAACCTAGTAAGGTGCAGCATGCGCCTATTCAACGAAAGCCGAAAGTAGGGGGGGGGGGAATGTTAAAGAAACAAATCTGATATCAGTTATTATTAAATGTTAATTATTAATTTTATTATTAAATGAAAACCGATATTATGAAATTAAAGTGGGTGTAAATTAAATATGCAGCTTTTAGTTTGTGTTAGAAATTATAAAATTTGCATACCCATCTGGATGTTGCCGTGGTAATGATGCTATACGAGCTAAAGTTTCCACCGTATTATAGAGATCAACCTGTAAGGACGAAATATTTTAAATTTTTGTTCTAACATATTAAAATTATTTTTCTGACACATATATATTTCCTTGTCAATTATTTTCAATAAACAAAACATTTGCTATTTGGAAAGTCTGATAAATCATTATTTTATGCACCAAATTCAGCTGACTTTTTATTTACTCAAACATTTGTGGTTTCTCTTTTTAATACTCTGCAGTGCATTAATGTCTTAACTAACCTGTTAACTTGAGTTTTTCATGCAACAGAAATGAATATGAATTACCATGAATTAAAAATTCCAAATAAAGAATTTGGTACTTGTGTTCTTAGCTACCTTGGCAAGAGAAAACAGTACTGGCATAATTTGGGCTTAAGGTGGTGTATTTAATTATGGCAAAGCACACTAGGGCTATCTGCCTAAGGGGAGGGATGCCTTCATGGAGGACTTTCTAAGGGAAACTGGCTCATATACACGTTACACACGGGGAAAATCACGAAAAAACCCATGCAGCCAGCCCGTTCGTGGGATTCGAACCTAACTACCAGTGACTGCTCGGCCGCTGGTGGGCTCCAATTTGGGCTTAACAAAGTGTGATTTCTTGCTAAATGTTACACGCATGCACAATGAAGAAAACTGATTATGGTAAACAATAACTACTTCAATATTTACACAAAGTAAGTTACTTAATATATACCTACAGAACAGAAGTTCTCAACCAGAGAGAATCTCCTCCTGGGGTAAATGTGGCCAGCCTTTCATTTTGTTGTTAAGTACTTAGTTTCAGTTTACAAACATAAAAAACTATTTTTATTCAAGTTGTGATATTTATGAACATTTTCCATATTTTTGGTTGTTTAATCCTTACTGATATTATAAATACGAATGCGAGTTTGTTTGTTACGCTTTCACGACTTAATTACTTAACCGATCATCATGAAATTTTCAAAAAATATTTTTGATATATTAGAAAAGGTTATAGGCTATAAAATGTCTTCGTTCGACTTAAATTAGACGAGATATTAATGAAAAACTACTTTTTCCTTCATTTTTCACTTACTTTGTTGGGTTTTCCCCTATGAAAGGGATTTGGCTACATGCCAATTTATACTTTCACAAATATCTATGGAACGCCGATTAGTTGAATTTCGAGACATATATCCGCTGATTCAAAAAATTCGTCGGAATCCATTGATACTATTCTCATTTTTGTATGACCTTAATCAGCTGAGATATTAATTGAAAATTCTGAAAACGCTAATTTGAATGTGACTCAATAGCGACATTAAGGATTTTTGAGTCTTCCCGCTTGGATCCAATAAATTGGTGATAAAAACTATAACTTTGATCTAATTATCCAAATTTCTTGAAATTTAGAAACTTGTGTTGCGCTCTGAATGATAGAACCAATGGTGGTGTAACTGTTTTTGGCCGCTTAATTATTTTCTGCTTAATCACATATGAAACAATACTCCGCTTGCTATTGTTAACAGCCTGCAATTCGAAAGCGATGGAGGGGGGGGGAAGGAGTCGGTATCTGTTCAACCGTTGGGTTGGCAAAAATTCAAAGTGCACTGATTTACACGTGGAAAATCATTTTAATATTGATAACTTTTAATTAACTTACTGACTTGAAAAAATTATCAACATTTCAACTTTCGTGATATATTTAATGTTCTATTTCGTATTTTTTAAAAGATCTATTCATTCGTGTTATATATTTCTGTTATTGTTGCTTGAAAAATTGGATTTACAATTTATATTCTTTACATTTTACTGTGTGTAATAAAAAATTTTGTTTTATCATTTTAAGGCGCTGGAATGTTCTTTATTTTGAAATTTTATGCAGAGTGTATTTTTAAAATCCATGCAGAGTTGAAACTTATTTAAGGACATCAACGCAAGCGATGTTGCGGGTAAAGCTAATTTATAAAATATGTTAGAAAATATTTCAAATCTACATAAGTGCATACATATATTTTTTCAAGATTTGGAAAGGAGGAAATGCATGGTATTCTAGCAATGGCGAAAGGAATACTTGGGCAAAAAAGGGTTGAGAACCACTGATATAGAAGGAATTCATTAAAATAAAAATTTGCATTTATTTTTTCAGTTAATATTTTGTGATTTATTACAGTATTTAATAAATAGTAAAATTCTATTCATTATTTTATTTGATACAGTTATGTTAGCAATTTATTAAAAAATAACATATATAAACATAGTGGTAAATGAAATTGTTAGAAATTCTTTCCTGGATAATAGCAATTGCATTAATAATGCCTCAAACACATCATTAAGGACAACTTACTTGGTAAACGTTTTCTTTTCCAACATATGAGTACATATTATGCCAATTTTCACAATTTTCTTGGTTGAAAAAATGACTTTTCTTAGGGGGGGGGAAGACTATAGCATATGTTTAGTTGATGGCAGATTAAATAGTTATGCAATATAAAAATTAAGTAATAAAATATTTGCAATGAAAAACTGCTCTATTTTAAAAGTGAAAATCATTCAAATACAAACATAAGTTACAGGCATACATGAAAAACCACTATATTTCAAAACAGAATAATTGCACATGTGCACGTTGATAACAGTTAACATTTCTTTCTCTCCAATGAGCAGATCAGTAAACAGTTGTTTTTCACCAAGGCAAGAAGACAAGTACCAAACATTTTATCTACTAAGGTCTATCCATACTTTGAAAGATGCCTACCCAAAGAACAGCTGAATTCCCAGTCATAACTTTAACATCAGAAGTACTTCATCTAAATAAATTAATTACATAACCACTTCCGATTTCTCCAACAGAAATACACAGTGCCCAGCAGCTATAAATACAAATTATAAAACCAGACCACTTACTTCAGTTACAATAGCATTCTGCCGTTCATCCAAAAGATACAACTTAACTAACTGCATTGCAAATTGGACAGCCATGATGTTCATTCCATTCTCCATTGACTACAAGAAAGAACAATAGAAAAGAATATTTATTAAATTGGCTATTAAAATTACTCAATATAGTTATATATTTCAATATAATATGCCCATACACACACAGTAAAATATGTGTAACGCGAAAACTCTTAATACGAAATATCGGTTAACACAAAAAGATATTCTCTCTGGACATGAACAAAATACGGAAAACACCAGCTTCACAGGCAAGATTTAAATGGGGTGTGAAATGAAAGAGGAGGTGGTTTCACATGTTTCGTACAAAGGAAGCTAAAAGAAAAAAATTCACAGGAAGACGTTAAAGGCAGTGGAAAATGTCACCAAGAAGCAATAGGGGTGCCCAATGTAAAAATGTTACCTTAATGAAATATCGGTTAACACAAAAAGATATTTCTCTGGACATAACAAAATGAAAACACCGCTTCACAGGCAAGATTAAATGGGGTGTGAAATGAAAGAGGAGGTGGTTTCACATGTTTCGTACAAAGGAAGCTAATTTGGCTTCGAAATTTCCCCGGAATAGCCTGTGACACAAGCCAGTTTTGTTTATCTATGCTACATATGCCACACAAACATTTTATCTCTCATTAGTTGGCTTTGGAATTCGGTGACAAGTACATCACAGTGCGAGTAAAAATTTGTGAGTTTGGTTCATATGTTGCACTCTGCATGTCAGTCTCTTAATCTATTGCACTCTGCATGGAATTCAATGACTCAAGGATGAATGAAAACTGTTTTCTTCATATCTGATTTTCAAAAGTATCAGATTCTTTGGCTTAAAAAAAAAAAAAAAAAAAAAAAAAAAAAAAAAAATGGAGGAGCAGTATATTGAAACTGAGCTGGCACTTAATGAAATGTGTGAGAAAGTTTCTGTACTTTTGGACTATCCTACTGTATTATCGGAATAATTCGTTGCAATAATTATGGCTGACAAAGACATTTTGGAGTCTGTTCAAAGCTAAAAAAATATCACTGATGCAGATTCCGATAACGAAAATGAAATTAATACTGCAGCTCCTCTTCCCACGTATCCGAAATGAAGACTATCATGAAAAGTATGTATAGTTTATTTAGATACAGATTCCAATGGTGAAATGAATAACAAAATGGATGACATTGAACAGTTTGTCAACAGTCTGATGCTAAAAAAGACAATGCAAAGAAAAATATCAGATTATTTTCCAAAATCTGAATAAATATTTTGTTTTTCAAAAAACTTGAAAATTTTGTATTAAATCTCATTACGTTCTTGTGGATGTTTTAGTTTCATTGATTTTTATTAAATACATACATACATAAAACGTTGTTGGTGGTGGTTTTGAAGTCTGGATTTTAGATCATTCTGGATAATGGACGTCCGGATTTCGGACTTAATACTGTACATATAAACATGTAAGATATAACAAAATACGATAGCTGCTTTAAAAATAATTGGCGACCTCCTTAAGATTAACAATTCTAGATTTGGCACTCTCCACCTAAATTTATCTGTTCTCCCAAATTCGAGATTCTCCTATGATTATATACAATCTAAAATTAACCAATCATAGCTTAGAGTACTTTCTGCATGTACCTAGTATAAGTACCGCTCATATATAAACTGTGTCATCTTCTATCTTTTGCCATGCCAAAATCCACGTTGCTTTGCTTGCCTGTTTAAAATGATATCACCCCATTAATCTGTGTAAATAATAAATTATTATAATTGTTTATGATAAAAATATATAGTCTTCGAAGAATTATTTTAATGTGCCTGGAAATAAAGCTGAACTTAGTTTGGTATCAACATCTTCATCCCATCTTGCTGCTCTGCTATCATGACTAAACATAAAATATATATAATACATATATATATATATATATATATATAAATTCCCCATTAAACTTTCCACCGACAGTTCATTTTTTAAAGTAAGAATAAGGAAATGTGCATTTTAAAAACTGGTAATTAAACATATCTAATTTCTAAATTTGATAATTAAAATATCTAATTTGTAAAACTAAAACATAGATATAGTTCACAGCAGTATATACAAATTCTAAGAATACATTATATATTAAAAATTTAATGAAGATGGCAATTATAAAGACTTGATTTGAAAGTCTCTATTAATATTCGTTATGCATCTCTACAAAGCTGTGACAAATCTTTCAGTCCAGTTGCTAAAAATAACAACTCTGGCCTTAAGATTTTTATTAATTAATATTTAATTAAGAAAGGAGGAACTCAACATTTATCTATAAACAAAAGAAGAAACTTACTAAAATTTAATAATACAGTCAAAAGTCGTTAATTCGGACACCCATAATCCGGACCTCAAAGCTTCAAACATTCTGCGCATGCGTCAATAGACGCATGCGCATAAGACCTTTACGGCTGCGAATATGCTTGTGTGCGTGCGCAAAATACGTTTACGAGTGCACGTTTAATGCATAACGGACGGTATAAGCTAAGCTAAAATTATCTAATTATCTATTCCAGTTAATGTTGCAGATTGCGCTGTTCCTTAATTTTCGAATTGGATCCGGCCTATAATTTTTTGCAGACTGTTAGAGCAATTTTATAAAAGTAAGCTTGAACTTTCGATTATGTCAAATAGAATTTCTGATATATATTTATTAATATGTAAAGGATCTACAAAGCGAAAGTATGTTTCGAAGTTCATTAAACAAAAGGTGGAATTGCTACAAAAAATAGATAAAGGCATATCCTTTGTTTATTTAAACTTTAACATTTGTTTATATAAACTTTAACGTTTGTTTATTTAAACTTTGTTTATCTTTAACGCAGTGGCGGCGCGCAATGAACTGGAAGTTGATCTGTCAGCACTAACCTTATCTTCAAGGTAGATGTTTTTATTTTATTTGGCTTATAATTCCTTACTAAATGTAGTATTTCATCTCGATGTACTCCGTCTTTGATATGATTTAAATCAAATTCCTCGTCATTATAATTCGCTTCCGATAGCGAAGAAAGTGACAGAGGTTATTGAAAAGGAAAAAATTTCGATTGACAAATTAGTCGGTAGACACAACTATTATAGGACTTGAACAGCGGAACTTTCTAACTGAACAAGAAATTATGTCTGTTTATAGAATTAAAGAGAAAGTATTATCACATGAAACGAAGCAAAACTTAAACAACTTACATTGAAAGAAATGTTTAATAAAGTAAACAAATAAATATTAAGCTTTTTCTTTTTGCAAATTTTGATACCCTTTAGATCATAATTGTTCTTTATTTCATAAATTACGGTTTCATATTCAACTATTTCCAAGCCTTTTATATGAGAAATTCTTCCAGCCAGTCTTAGATCACATATTATGTTGTTCTCAAAATGGTGGGGCCACGCCCCGCTTCCCATAAATTAATTGGCATTAGTATGCGAGTTTTATGGCAAGAATTTATAGATTATATTTTTAACCACTCCGAGTCCAATTTTATATGATTTTTGTTACTGTTACAAACAAACAAAAGTAGCACCCCCAAAAGATCTACAAATGGAGCAAATTTACTCTGTAATATGAATCTTGCTGAAAGATTTGAAAACAAATTCAATACTCTCAGTAACCATTTTTTGTAATAAGAATAATTGCTTTGTTTAGGAATACATTTTTGTCAGAAGGTTTTAACACCAGCACCTTCTGAAAGATAGGTGGTTGGAATTGTAGACATTTCCATAACACAAACCACATTATTAGATGAGGCACATTGAAATCAGAACTCGCATGATGCATTGATTTTGCAGGATTTCGTAAAAACTTTTTATTAACTTTTGCAACCACTTATATAAACTTTAACGTTTGTTTATCTAAACTTTGTTTATCTTTAACGCAGTGGCGGCGCGCAATGAACTGGAAGTTGATCTGTCAGCACTAACCTTATCTTCAAGGTAGATGTTTTATTTTATTTGGCTTATAATTCCTTACTAAATGTAGTATTTCATCTCGATGTACTCCGTCTTTGATATGATTTAAATCAAATTCCTCGTCATTATAATTCGCTTCCGATAGCGAAGAAAGTGACAGAGGTTATTGAAAAGGAAAAAATTTCGATTGACAAATTAGTCGGTAGACACAACTATTATAGGACTTGAACAGCGGAACTTTGTAACTGAACAAGAAATTATGTCTGTTTAATAGAATTAAAGAGAAAGTATTATCACATGAAACGAAGCAACTTAAACAACTTACACTGAAAGAAATGTTTAATAAAGTAAACAAATAAATATTAAGCTTTTTTTTGTAAATTTTGATACCCTTTAGATCATAATTGTTCTTTATTTCATAAATTACGGTTTCATATTTTTAATTTTATAATTTCTGCATGCCATCTTACCAGACTTAAACTGATGATCTATAATCCGGAAAAATCGATAATCCGGAATCGCTGAAGTCCCGACGAGTCCAGATTAACGACTTTTGACTGTACTTTTGTTCTGCTCAATTTTGGGGGGAGGAAGGGGTTAACTGATAATGTATTTCCATCAAAAATACTTTTTGCTTGCACAGTAGTTAACAGAACTTCGCTTGGATGTACTGAATTCTGTCTAATTAAAAATTTTTTAAAATTTAATTAATTTTTGAGACATAACATCACAAACGCATATAAATATCATAATGTCTTTGATTCATACACTGTCATGACGAATCAACAAAATGTATTCAATTCATCAAATTGCATATAAATATATATTACTTTGACTCCTACACTTTTTCTACCATGAATGTTTCTAAAAACTGGATACAAGACAAACTTAGAATTATATTTCCCACCTATAACTTCCCAAACTTTAAACATGTCACTTAACATTTTAAGACTAATGAATGGTAAATGAGTTAAAATACGATATATTACAAGAAAATAAAGATAAAAGGTTCAGATGTTTCATACTGCAAAACAAATTAGGATATAAATCATAAATAACAGGCTGAGTAAAAGTACGCACTCCTGTTATTAGCAAATTACTACCTATTAGAACAAAAAAACAGTTTTTTCATTTTATATGTTCCATTTTCTTTGAATCAATGCCTTTGTTGGCAGTGAAATTGGTGGATACTTCGTGCGATGAACGGTATTTTGCAATTATAGAAATATGGTTGGTAATCTAAGAGAGGGAACTTTAGATATAACAATCTGTCACTCTGTATATATCTCAAATATATTCAGAAAACAGCCGTAAATGTGTTTATATCTCTGCATGATAATCTGCAGCAATTTTTTTGTTGTGAAGGAAGATTTGCATCTGATTACACTCTACACTCAAAATCAATGTAAAACCAACTTTGCTTTCTCATTTAGTTATAAGTGATCGGCTAAAATCAGAATTAATGTCTTTGGCTATTTAATTCTTTACCTGGAAACATTTTTTTGTTACATTACTTAATAACAATTTTTAAAATCTATTTTGACTATATGGTGATTTTGCTTTTCGTTTGATGAATTCATTGAAGTTTAAAAAGCTTTATAATATTTTGATCATATTAACAGCATTAGGCAACATATTTTGGATATTGATAGGAGGCAGTTTTCAATTAATGAAAATTTGACAGTAGCTATAAAATTATATGTATTTAATTGCACAAAAAGATGGTATAATTATTACCTGAGTTAGATGTTTTAGAAGTTTTCATATACACATGGGAAGGCCTTCGGGAATTATATAAAAACCATGATCATATTAAGTGGCATCTATTGCAGCAGAATGATTCACGCAAGCAAAGTAAGAACGAAGCAAGGCAGAGGATTCCCAATTTTTATAATTGATAGGAGGCAGTTTTCAATTAATGAAAATTTGACAGTAGCTATAAAATTATATGTATTTAATTGCACAAAAAGATGGTATAATTATTACCTGAGTTAGATGCAGATCATATGCTTGCAGGTTAATCAAATGATTTCTGATTAAAAGATCTACAGCCTCAACATTGTAGCGGCATTCTTCTCTACTTTCAATCAACCACCGAGTGACTTGCTTACTCGTCCACTGATTACCATATACTCGATTATCTCCCAAAGATTTCATAACAATAAGATGACCTTCTTTGAAGCGAACCATTATTTCGCTATCACTGGCGGGTTGAGACATGCCTTCTAAGAAACTTTCAACAGTCTAAAAAATAATTACAATTTAAAAATAACTTCACAAAAAGAGGGAAAAAGTATGGAATTATTTGCTTATATTTAGGAAAAAGCCATACCAATTCATGCCATTTTTTTAAATGTTTTTGGTTTGGTGTATTTTGTCAGATCAGATGTTACCAGTTACTAGCTTCATTCTTGGCAATAATAATTTTTATAATTATAATTTCAGCAACCATGTTTGTAATCTAATCACAGTGGTTTTTCTTTACTACAATGGATTACAAGAGTTGGGATTTGCTGAGATGAACAATCGGCTTATATTCAAGAAAAATATACTGTTAAAAAAGAAAAGAATATGTTTAATTAAACACCTCACAAAATTAAAATGCGACTTGAAGCTCAAATGCTTTGCAGCCTTTGCTCATGCACTGACAAAAAGGTAATCTGAACACAAATGTAGTTTATATTGAGCACTTCTTCCCTATTACCACACAATTCACTTATGATAGCATTTCTCAACCAGACTCCATACAACCTTCGAGACGGTCCACAAGAAAAAAAAACTGTGCTTCAGGGGGGGGGTCATAATATGAATTAAAGGATTCATAATAAAATAATAATATTGTGATAGAAAAATCCAGAAATTCACGGATAGAAAATACTCTTATTCTCTGGTATCTTCTTTAGTTCCTGGGAGGGGGGGGGAATTCTATCCATTGAAAATTTTAGAAGAGATTATTACTTAGGCACCAATTAATAGTGAAAAATTAATTCAGTCACAGGGAATTTTATTCTACAGTGAGTAATCTGTACCATTGTGATGAAATTTGTGTTATTGAATGTTACATATTTCCATAATCATCTAGGAGAAATGGCAGGTCCTAGGATGTGCAGTGATACCGCTGGGTCCCCTCCAAAAGATAAAAAATATTAGTTTTTAGTTCATTTATTTACATTTTTTAAACTTTTACAGTTTCCTTTTCAATATTCAACCTCTGCTGCTTAAAATAACACAAATAGTAAATATTAAAATCCACTGGCTTATAGAGAAAGCTAATGAAATGTATGGCTGGCTGGGAAGCACTTTACTAGGTACTGCAGGTAGGTGAACAGTTATGTATGAAATAATATAAATAGAATAAATATTTAAATGTAAACAGAATCAGTGTTGTTATAAAAATTAAATTACTGTTGAACTGTATAATTATTACCTTTTAATATTTTACAAATATTTAATTTAGGAATATTATATTTGCATATATGGGGGGTCCACAAGCTAAAAAAAGGGGTGGGGAATCTTTGACTTGTGGTGTTAATTGCGATTTGTGAACCAAAGCTCTTGCTTCAAGTCAATTATAGTGCAACAGTTGATTAGAATAATTATGTGAGAGATATGTGCTAATATCTAGTAATCTCAAAGTGAAAATTGGTGGGCAGCACAAAAATATGGAAATTGATTATTAAAAAGTTTATTCCGATTATCAGCACTTTATTCAGAGAAGGAAGAAAATTGTACTCTTTGTTCTTCCCATACAGTTACTTTTAGAAGATACAAGAAATTTTAGAACATTTCTTTTATCTACTTCAAGCCAAAAGCACCTGCGTGTGTGTGTGTGTGTGGGGAGGAAACAAAACATGATAATATGACGCTAAACGTGTGTGGTATGGCTTTAATGCAAAAGCAACATTTTTTTTTTATTGCAGGATAAAAAAATAGTGATAGAAAAACGTAACACATACCTTTTGCAATAAACCAACAGCAGATTGCATCTCCCTTGAAGGACGAGTATGAAGAACAGCCTCTAGTAAATTGTGAAGTGCAGTTACATGAGGATTGCCAGGTACAACAATAATACCGTGCAGCAGCAGTTCTAAATCCGAAATGATTTTATCATACAATTGTGTAATGTCATCATTCATGTATGGCTGCATAAGCTGGGGAAGGGAAAAATTAAATTCTTAAAATACAGCTATTTTTTGCAAAGCATTAAACAATCCATTCCTGCCTAGTTTAAATTCCATTTTTGAACACAGGATTATAAAAAAATCTGATGTGGCCACCACATGACCTCCCAGCAATTTCATGTTTTAAATAGCAATGAGCTTTTAGGTAAAGTATTACTTCTGGTTGGTTGTCCATAAACAAAAACTAATTGCTTATTTCAATAAATACGAAGATTGATAATAAAGAATTTTGGATTATACTGTATTAGCCATTATTGGCCATACGTCAAAACTGGTTTTCCTAAAGGAATAGAACACAATCCAATGTTTGGCCCTTTATTTTTTTTAATTAAAAACTATTTTATTACTGGGCAGTTGAATAGCATAATTTAATTGGATTTTAATCAAAGAAAAATTAAGTATTTATCATATATTAAAAATTTTATTTTATTGGGCAGTTGAACAATATAATTTAATTCGATTTTAATTACTTTCACATATTTAAAATACACACCTTCATAAGAGTACCATAATGTAAAAATACTTCTATAATATCGACAAATCTATATTATTAATTTTGATCTGAATGTATATCCTTGTGATATTTAGACAGCAGTCAATAACACTCATTATTCTTCAATGCTCTCCAAATTTTGGATTACATACATATTTTCATGAATATCTGTTCAGAGCTACAAGTAAAGTACCACTTCAGTTTTATAAATATTAGCCAATATCTAACATGTTGCCCATTGATATAAAAGTCTTAAATACTAAAATTAATAAGTTTTAATATAGTTTTTTAATTCAAAACTGTTATGGATTTCAAATGAAGCATTACTTTTCCTTGTCCATTAAAAAGTTATAGGCTTCGAATAAAGTATCACTTATGTTTGTCAAATTTCACCCAAAATTTAATCACATCTTTATATGAATGCAGAAAGCTTCAATAATGGAAATAGAAAATTTTGGAAGTTGAGATATTTAATCAACTGCATCATAAACAAAGTGAAACTCCACTTGCTGAACATGATATTTTCAATTTTTTTGCTTATAAGGCACATAAAAGAATCAGTTATAGGTAACTTAAACAATACTGTTGAGTGCAGACCTAAAGCGAAAGGACAAAACTTATACAGATAGAAAAATCATTGAAAACTGTCGAAACAACTCTGCAGAATGAAGAAAAAACTACCAAGAACCTAAAAATTAATGAAAACTGGATTAGTCCAACTGAGAACTGTTAGACGTTCTTGTAAAAATAAAAAATCGGAAGTTACAAGGAAGCAGTCAAAATACCTTTACATGCAAGAAAATAAGTCTCCACATAATGAAAAATTTGTTAGAAGAATCTGCTTATAAGCAACTTTTTATATCTGTACCACAGCTGCCAATCTCGAAATATGAAAAAGTGAGAGATTCACCCGACAAAAACCCGCCGAGTTTTTGTTCTGCACAGTGGCACCATTTTAAAGGATTAAAAGTTTATCAAAATTTGTTTTATAATGCATGATTCAACTCGTTCAAATACTGATATTTAACTTCTAATGTCAAATATATTAATAACATATTTTGAGTGTATGTTTGACGGCTAATTTTATTTTACAGTTCTCTTACTCTTTTATATTTAGAAAATTCTGAGTAGGGAAAGAAAGCTTCAGTTTATCAAAGTACCTTTAAAAAGAGTGAAAATAAAATTAATAATTCAAATGAATACTATTGCATGGATAAATTTAATAATGTATTTCCCCCTGCTTACTGCATGCCTTCGAGATCCAATTGGAAGCACATTCTGCTAGCAATCAGGAGATCCAGAATTTATTCACATTTTTAATTAAACTCCCTCTTCTTGAAAGAAAAAAAAAAAAAAAAAAAAAAGCTCTACAGTGACATAAGTTAAAATGGGGTGGATGATAATTTGTCACAACAAGGAATTCTTAATTAGGATTAAAAGCCCCTTATGCCTTCATGATGTAATTAAGAGCATCTCCAGCTAGCAGTCGGAAGATAAGAATTCAAACCCCTGGTGAAGGTACTACATATTTTTCATATTTATCTCGAAATGGAACTTATAACTTTACATATTGATCGAATCAAAATTAAACACAAATATTTGCGTAAATCTCTTAAGTTCTATAAAATGTCTATAAACAGAATCAGATAAAAAAAAAATTAGAAAAATAATGCTGAAGGTTACTAGGGATCAAGGAATGAAGTGTGAAAAATTTAAGCTTCATTAATTCAATATTGAAACTTATCGTGCAAATTTTATTGCTGAAAAACACTTTCTTTACTAAAAATTATTCGGCTTTAACGAAAGTTTCCCACTACTGCAAATATTGTTTGCCAAACAATTTTTGGCATTTGAAAGAGAGAGACTAGCTTTAGGACCACTGTGTTGTGAAATTTGTACAATAATATTATCATTAAATACAAAGTATCTGAAATAGAACTACTACACTATCAGATTAAAGTTTTCATTTACTTCTAGTTTTATTGCAAGATGCTGTAGACATTAGGTTGCTCCGCAGTACGACGACATGAAAAATAAGCAATGCCCTTGCCAGGACTCAAACCTCTTGAATATGCACCGAACATGCTGACCATTATTCCACAAAGGCAGGAGAAATTCCTTATATACTCTTCCTTTCTAAGGGCGACTGGTGATTATGGGACCCAATCGCCAAATCTTGGTGGTGGAGAATCATCATCCACCACCTATTTCAGTTTGGGCACCACTGTAGAGTCATTAGGACATTTTGGAAGCAGAAAACGTGAAAAATAAGCAGTGTTCTCGCCAGGACTTGAACCTCGGACCTCTTGAATATGTACCAAGCGTGCTGACCATTACACTACGAAGGCATGCTAAGAAGGCAGGAGATATACTTTATATTGTCAGTTACAGAATGTCACCAACTCATGTGCACAGTACTAATGCTGCATCATATGATACTGTGAAGGTTTAGTATCGAAAGCTCAAAAACAAGGACTATTGATATTCAAGAAGCAAAGCACACTGCCCGGCCTACTGATGTTGAAGAGCCTGCCTGAGAGAACTTTTCGAAGTAGATTAGTATGCAACCACTCGAGCTTGCTAAGGAGTTAGACATTAGTGTCATGCCCATTAGTTGCACTATGCATCACATAAACTAGACATACAAGCTCAATCATTGGGTGCCCCATGAGCTGACTCAAGTAGATACAGATATTGTTCGAGCCTGCACTAATCTGCTCGAAAATTAATGCAAGAACAAATTCTAAACAGGATTGTCATTTGTGATGAAAAGCGGATTTACTTCAAGAACACAGTATGAAAAGTGGGTTGGTCTGCACCTGGCAAGCACTTCGGCAACATAGTAAAGCCCAATTAAAAAAGTATTGTATCTGGTGGGATTGCCATGGTATCAAAAGCCACAAAGAGTATCTGATAAAAGGTAAAACCCTCGACGGTAAGGTGTACAGCAGAGATGCTGCTCTCAAGGGGAAATGTCAAATTAAGTTCCAGCACAAAAAGATAACACAGATAATCAAGATAACACAATACCCCATGTGTCTGCATACACTGCCTGGACTCTGTATAAACTTGAATGGGATCTTTTGCCACACCCAGCGCATAGTCCCTCGGCATCTCTCCTTCAGACTTCTACCCTTTATTACACCGATCTGGATGCAAGAGCACCAAATTTCTGGGCCAAAATATTTGATAAACTACAAAAACGTTTGCAAAAAATCATAGATTTGGGTGGTGATTACTATCTGCCCTTAAGGTACTGCTTTTACGTTTTTTCTTCAAACTTTATTATGAATGTTTTTTGGTGGAATACTTTTGTTACAACCAGATAAAAACTGGGAGATATGGTGATCCACTACGAAACAAGTCGAAAAATCAGTAAAAACTCAGAGTTAGCAGCTATGCTATACATATCTCATACAAGAGTTTATAAGGGAAAAATTCAAATTTTTATAAAAAATCAAATCAGTACAACACTTACAGTCATGGGTTTATTCACGAAGCTACTCTGCTGCTCCCTTCCTCCATTTGGTAAGAATCCTGGAATCATTCGAGCAAATTCTTCGTACACTGCCATCTGTTGAGGTGTCACACCACCCACCTATAACACAAGAATTAAAAATTTATCCGACACAGAATTCTGAAATGCTAAGTTTTATTTTTAGTTCTTTCTACCCACAGTTATCATATGTTTGATATCAGACACATTTATTTTACTTAAGATGAAATATTTTTTAACCCTTTGAACCGCGCTATATTATTTTTGTATTTTTTTTTAACTAAAATTTCTAGAAATTGAATATTATGATCCTAGAGACAAATAATATGAATTTAAAAAAATTTACTCTTGACCATTGCTCATTGTAAATGAAAGACCTTTTTACTGGGCAGGTTTATGTATTCTTTAGTAATACAAATAACTGTGTGGTTTCAAAACTCCTTATCTATATCTGGGTAAAAATAAACATTCCTATTTGAGGAGCAAGCAAGCACCATTGTGAAGAGCAGTGGTTTCAAGGCGCGACCACCGCACCTCTATTGCGCAGTGTCGTGTCTGTCCTGAAACCACAAAGCAAATGCCATACATATAGAGAGCTTTTTTTATATATGCAGTTTGATTATTGGTATTTTTTTTTTATTGTTTATGATCAATCTGATGGTGATGAATACTTGAAATTTAAAGTTCTTATATTAATAAAAGAGTTTTTGTCCTTGAATACAATTTTAAAAGGCATCTGATGTAGTATAGACCTAAAACACGTAATTCTGCATCATTTGTGTATTTAGAGGTAAAGATCAGTAACAATTGATTTTCACTCAAAAATTTTTGAAAGAAGAGAAAAAAATTTGAAAATTGGTAGTTTCAGATCGCGCGTCAAAGGGATAATGTAGATTACTCAGGCATTCATATAAAAAATATGTACATCACACGACAAAAACATATATAAAATTTAATATATTGTTTAAATTAAATATAAACACTATAAAGATTTATTTATTAACTAGTAAAAATAAACTATACAGAAACTAGCTTTCTGATTTAGAGACATTAAAATGCACTGATAACGCATTCAAAAGCAGCAAATTGACATTTGCATGCATTATTACCAATATTTAAAAGCCCAGTTAGCCTTTAAATATTGCATACCTTCAATGTAAAGCAGAGAAATGGATCAGCTTATCGTTTTTTTATTTTATATTCCTCAACTGTGAAATTAAACTAAAGCAGAAAAGCAGTTCCCAAGCAGCACGCCTCCAAAAATATACGTATAATTTTGGTGAAATAAGGGTATGGCATTTTTTGCATGTTTCTTTTAAGAAATTTATAAGAATAAAAAAAGGCTGAAGATACTGTTGACTCTCTATTGTTATTTTCCACACGTTATTTTATGAAAATTTTCTGAATGTACTGAAAAAAATACCGCCTTTATGGCATATTTCATTCATCATTTTTACAAATATTATACAAATCTGAATGTACAGAAAGAAAAAACAAAACTACTGCCTTTCTGGTACATTTCATTTGTCACTTTTACGGATATTCTACACATTCTAAAAAGATTGAAAATGAAGTTTATTAATTTAAAATATTTAGTGTATTTCTGGCATTTAATTTTTTTCTTTTTCCACGAACATGAAAAAAAGGTATGCAAATATATATATATTTTTTCCAACAACATTTTAATTTGCTATAACACAAAAATATAAAGATTATTTTCGCATTCCAACCATCTTTACGTTTAAAATTAAATTTCCTCTGGTTAAAAATCTCTACCGAATTGGAAAACAATCTTGATATTTTATATAAATTGGAAATACTTTAATCATTATTCTAACATTTATATACGAGGCTATAATTTTTCAATGAATTTTAACATGTGAGCTAAATTTATATATATATAACTACTTAAAACATTCTTTCATGTAAAAATTTATACTTATATATATAAATTTTAAAGCTGGGAGATGACACAAACTGTCAATGTCCTGTTTGCTTAAAAACATCGTGAAAATAAACATCAAACAAACTTTCCCAGTTTTAGACAATTCATTTAATGCAAAGTAAGTAATGATGACACAGCAAGTAAAATTTTACTTTACAATATTAAAAAACAAAAAGAAAAGAAAGAAAAAATTTTTTAAAAGTTTACTATACTATTAACAAAATTTATTAATTAGACACAATAACACGCCGAATAAATACTTATTTCAGAAGTCAAACAACAAAAAATCAGTTATATTTAAAAATTTTTCACAGGACTAGTTTCGATGGTTTTACCAACCATCATCTCAGCTGCAAAACCGCAAATGAACAAGATAGGAAATAATGATTAGATAAGATAAGAAAGCCTGGACAAGAATAAGCAAGTGGCGCCATCTGTTGGCGAAACCAGAACTAAAACATAATTTCTTTAAAGCGAAGGCAAATTTGGATTGGAATTAGGATCGTTAACTAGAACAGAAAGATTTTTATGAATGTGAAATGCTCTAGAAAATCCAGTTCTCCAATGGAAGATGTTTTTTGAATAATTTTGGCAGCAGAAAAAATGAAAGTGTGGTTTTCGGACCAACAATGTTGAGCAACAGAAGACTTCTGTTTCCTTTTTTCTAACATATGCCTCATGTCTTGACGCGAAATTTTAAGGCTCTCTTAGTTGGCCAATGTAAATTAAACCACACTGGCAAGGAATCCTATAAATACCCCAGGAATTCATATCCGGAATGGGGTCCTTGAGTATGGAACTCGGAATTTTATTGATGGGAGAATAACAACCAAAAGTTAAATTTCTGCAAAATGTGCAACTTTTTAGCTAATTGATGGAAAGAAGGAATGACAACAGAATTTTTTTTAAATGCTGATTTTTTAATTAAATGTTGGGTGAAAAGCCCCTGTCAATAGCTATTGCTTTTAAATAATTTAGTTCTTCATCAAGGGCTAGTTTGGAGGAGCAAACTTGAAGAGCACGGAAAAAATAGGAATAAATGAGCTACTTTTGTTTAGTCGGATGACATGATTTAAAGTGGGTGGAAGGCAAACCGATGAAGGTTTACGGTAAACTGTAGTACTGAAGTTGGATGTGTTACGTGTGACCAGAATGTCGAGAAACGGAAGAGAATTGCAAGTCTCAAGTTCAAAAGTGAACTGAAATAGCAGGATCAATAGAATTCATTGTTGAAAGAACTTTATTTAAATCATCTTATTACCTTCAAAACAGGGTAAAGTATCGTCTACGTAGCGGAACCATGCCGGGAAGTTTAAAGTTCAAACAATTTTGATTCATAATAATGCATGTAGATATCAGCCAGGATGGGACTGAGGGGGCTTCCCATGGCTAATCCCTCAGTTTGCTTGTAATATTTATTTTGGAAAACAAAATGTGTTTGTTTCAAACAGAGTTGAGTGAGAGAAATTAGCTCATCAATTTCGATGCAAGAGAAATGAAATTCGCGAAGTCTGGTTTCTAGACATCTTAATGCACCCTCCACTGGGACATTGGTGAATAATGATTTTACATCAAAAGAAACCATGAGTAAATTACTAGGAGAAATGTTTTTAACTTTTTTAACAAACTCTATATTGAATTTTTTAATGGTGTAAAATGTTATTGTCTAATAGAGTGAAAATCTAGAAACAAATATTTAGAGAGTATTTGTTCTAGATTTTCCACTCTATTAGACAATAACATTTACACCATAAAAAATTCAATAGAGTTTGTAAAAAAGGTTTTAAAAACATTTCTCCTAGTAATTTACTCATGGTTTCGTTTGATGTAAAATCATTATTCACCAATGTCCCAGTGGAGGGTGCATTAAGATGTCTAGAAAACCAGACTTCGCGAATTTCATTTCTCTTGCATCGAAATTGATGGGCTAATTTCTTCACTCAACTCTGTTGAAACAAACACATTTGTTTTTCCAAAATAAATATTACAAGCAAACTGAGGGATTAGCCATGGGAAGCCCCTCAGTCCCATCCTGGACTGATATCTACATGCATTATTATGAATCAAAAATGTTTGAAACTTTAAACTTCCCGGCATGGTTCCGCTACGTAGACGATACTTTTACCCTGTTTGAAGGTAATAAAGATGATTTAAATAAAGTTCTTTCAACAATGAATTCTATGATCCTGATATTCAGTTCACTTTTGAACTTGAGACTTGCAATTCTCTTCCGTTTCTCGACATTCTGGTCACACGTAACACATCCAACTTAAACTACAGTTTACCATAAACCTTCATCGGTTTGCCTTCCACCACACTTTAAATCATGTCATCCGACTAAACAAAAGTTAGCTTCATTTTATTCCTATGTTTTCCGTGCTCTTCAAGTTTGCTCCTCCAAACTAGCCCTTGATGAAGAACTAAATTATTTAAAAGCAATAGCTATTGACAGGGGCTTTTCCACCCAACATTATTAATCAAGCAGTTAAAAAATTCTCATCTCAACACACTAAAAGGCAAACTCTTGTTTTTAGGAGATTATAAAAATTCTGTTGTCATTCCCTTCTTTCCATCAATTAGCTATAAAAGTTGCACATATTTGCAGAAATTTAACTTTCGGGTGTTTATTCTCCCATCAATAAAATTCCGAGTTCCCTACTCAAGGACCCCATTCCGGATATAATTCCTGGGGTATTTATAGGATTCCTTGCCAGGTGGTTAATTTACATTGGCCAAACTAAGAGAGCCTTAAAATTTCGCGTCAAGGGACATGAGGCATATGTTAGAAAAAAGGAACACAGAAGTCTTCTGTTGCGCAACATTGTTGGTCCGAAAATCACACTTTCAATTTTCTGCTGCCAAAATTATTCAAAAAACATCTTCCATTGGAGAACTGATTTTCTAGAGGCATTTCACATTCATAAAAATCTTTCTGTTCTAGTTAACGATCTTAATTCCAATCCAAATTTGCCTTCGCCTTTAAGAGAAATTATGTTTTAGTTCTGGTTTCACCAACAGATGGCACACTTTTTTCTTGTCCAGGCTTTCTTATCTTATCTAATCATTTTTCCCCTATCTTGTTCATTTGCGGTTTTGCAGCTGAGGATGGTGGTTTGGTAAAACCATCGAAACTAGTCCTGTGAAAAATTTTGTAAATATAACGCTGATTTTTGTTGTTTGTCTTGTGAAATATTTATTACACATTACTCAGGAGGAAAATTTCATATAATTCTCCATAAAAATTTATTTGAAATTTAAGGTTAAAAATAGCTGTGGCAATTCACTGTAACAAAAATCCATAAACCACATTTGCCGTTATTATCACTCAAAAAAAAAAAAAAAAGATGCCAAGTTTCAAAATGCGAAAATATGTGAACTCGTGTACATCTTAGACAATTTTGAATAAAAAACTAATTTTTTGCAGGTATGTTTAGAACTACACCTACTAAGATGATGGTAAAAATTTAAAGGTTATAATTTAAATTTTTAAAAAAATTTAAAAAATTTAAAAATAGAAATTTGAAAAATTAAACACAAAAAATAGGTGAATTTTATTTGAAAGGAACCTAAATTTCGAAATGTGAAAGGAAAAAAAATATAAAAAGTTTAATAAAAAAATAGGTATTAGTAAATATATGCCAAATTCAATAAACACTGAGGAGCTAAAATTTTGAGAGCTAATTTTTTTAAAACTACTCGTACAATTTTTACAAAACTTGGCAGTCTGGTATAATTTGAGTCGTAGAATCAAAATATGTAAAAAAATTGGTATGTTATTTTAGAAAAAGATCAATTTGGTGTCAAAATACTTATGTTAGAATAGTGTTATATATAAATCTAATATATATCCTAAGTCACGCTTTTGAGACATGAAAAATGCAATTTCAATTTTGTAAGTCGGCCCAGTAGAATGAGAGATATAGAAGTGTCCCCCCTCTTTATTTTTTGTGGAGTGTACATAAAAAGTACACAATTTCAAGAATGCAACAAAATATATCAAATATATTAAATAATGAATCTGTTTGTATGAATGCGCGTTCCCTACACTGTAGAATAATGATGATACCTACAATCACTCAATTTTGAACATGCTTAGTCTTCCACCCAGACATGCGCATCTCAAAGCCTGAATTTTGAATTTTTTTTACTTATTACGCATTTTACGCAAATTTAAAGAACTTTTAAATAGAAACACAATGATTTAAAAGCTTTGTGTTGCCAATTCTGCAAAGTGTGTAAGATATGTTTCAAATCTAAGCAAAAAAACTCAGTGATATAAAGAAGTGCGTCAGCAAAGTGTAAGATGTTTAACTTTTTTTTTTTTCAACTTTGTTCTGTTATTAACGAATTGAAGCATTTAAAAGCAATAAATGCAGATTCACTTCATTTATTATTAATTACTTAGATGGATCTGGGATATTATATTAGATAAATTCAGTAAAATTATATTATTTTTCTTTTTTCAGGTGGCTGGCCATGCAAGTGGCTAACATTTGAAATAAAAAAGTCCACTTTACGCCATAAACAGTACATTTGATGCCTTTAATTTCTGTTTTCAAGATTTAAATCTGAAATAAACGTCAAATAAGTGCACTTATTTTAAGAATAACTTATAAATGAATAAATTTATAATGTAAAATAAATGCATTTATATAATTAATAATATTGCTTCATAACCATGCACCTTTGTACATACTAATTTTTTCCTTCACCATGCAGTTTATAATTAATAAACAATCATTTTTATAGATTGCAGAAAAATTTAACTGCTAATTAATTTTAAACACACAAAACTTAATTACCTTTAAGCGTATCTGCTCAGGCATTCTCTCAGCTTGGTAAGTTAATGCTTGAGGATCACAGTATCTTCGACCTTCACTTCTTGCATGCTTTCTGATTTCATATTCCTACAGAATACATTTAGAATGAAGGCAACATTAAAAATGAATTCAACATGATTCTTGATAAAACTATGGAAAAATATTAATTACCAATTTAATATTTACCATTGTTATTACTGCTCTCAATGTTATATTACCACTGTTCGATTCTGAATGAAATTATCAATTTAATGAATGAATATTTTATGCTCAAGATGCAACTTACTGAACTTAAACGCTTGTCAATTTCTGGAAGGGCTTTCTCCACTGCAGTCTTTTGAATAAAGCAGCATGCAAGCTCCAAATTATCCCGTGCTACAATATCAGCTGCTTGGTCAATCAATTCCTTTTGTTGGGGTGTGGCATTCTATCAAAAACAACAAATATGAAACACAACACACAAACCATAAATATATCAATTTAAATAGAATAAATTACAGTTGGAAGAACACTTCTGTAAAAGCATGATCAGAATCATTCAAACTTTCAGTATCAAAATTCTTCCTAGCAGGTGATGATATGGCAAAATTCATAAGCAGCTAACACTAGGCATTCTCCAAAGAACCTATTTCTAGTTATTGAACAGATTGCTAATATGAGGCTCATCTCAAGTATAATCCGGCTTTAAAGAACACTGGCCTCCAGGCAGCCAACATCCCTTTGAAAATCCTCCATGAAAACATTTCTCTCCTTGTAAAAGCAGATATTAAAGTATGCTTTGCTTTAAAATAACAAAATATTCAATTTTATTCTTTTAATTACAAAAGCCAGAACTTTATTTCAGATTTTCTGCATAACATACAGTGAATAATAAAATAAACATTTTAGTAACTATGTCAGCAGTCTGAAGTTAGTGTTTGCGCTTATCAAATGTATATACAAATTCTTAAAGCCATACTTTTTGGTGACTTTAATAACAATAATATAATAATAATAATAATAATAATAATAATAATAATAATAATAATAAAAAAAAAAAAAAAAAAAAAAGTCCATTTCCTCAGCATCAGGTGTTGCCACTTTAGTTTGGTATAAATAGGTCTTGTGCAACCATGAATTTTCATACTAGTCTTTTTATGCTACTGCGATAGATTCTATGACTTAGCATTTGCTAAGAAATGAAAAAGCAGGTAACTTGTTTTTTCAAGAAAGAGATATTCTTCATAAAGAAATAGTGTTCAAATAACCACCTTATGAAACTAAATTATGATTTGAAGTAACAATGCTATGTGGCCTTTGCTCCTGTAGAGGGGAAAAAAGGTACCTGAACAAAAACATGGATTATGCATTTCTCTCGTTAATATTGATTCATTTATTTATGGTATCGCGGGTAGTCTAAGCACACTTCAAATGACTTAAATAATTACCTAAGAGAGAGATATATGCCAATTCCTTGTACCTCATCCTAATGTTAAAAATTAATGGACAGTACAAAATTGTGGAAATTGACGACTGCTTATTTACAAAAATTTAAAAAGAACATACCATGTTTTCCCCTTACAATGGTTTTTTTTTTTGTTTTGGATTTTCACATGAAATTACAGAATATCGCTGATTCTGAGCATCCCTTTGTCCCCCCTTCACATCTTTGGCCTTTTATTGGGCCTTTTATTGGGCCAAAGATGTGAAGAAATAAGTAAGTCAAAATGGCACCAGAAATGCAAGATACAGATTTAAAGGAGAAATATCAATGTCTGTATAAATTAATATGAAAAGTCTAAAGACAGTGAAGCTTTGCCAGAAAAATGTGGTTACAGGGCAAGTCTACTTAACAATGAGGTAAATGGCTACTTCACTAAATTGACGAGATATCACGAAGCTGGGGAGATGGTTTTGGTGGCTAATTTTTCATCAAATTTAGCGAGATATTGCCAAAATTTGTCAAAATCTCTGTGCCATTCTGATTAAATAGTTATAATTGATCCCTATATGTAACTGTGACCATATTTGGTTCTTATATGTAACTTTAATCATACGTGCCTTCCAATAACTTTGAGAAATAGACGGTAAGATTTCTCGGGATTTTCGGCAGCTGAGTGAAACAATATAAGATCAGAGAGAGCACCAGTTCTCAGTTTAGAGTAGCCTTAAGAATACAGAGAGATCTCCAAGCAAGCTTTGCATTGCATTGTATTTAATATTACCAGCAATTTAAAGTGATATTCTATTGAATGTGCTCTGCCATACTGAGAAGAGCTGTATGAATGCTTTTGTGGAATGTTCCAGAAATGCAGCACGTTTCTTTTGGGAAAATACATTTTATCAAGCCATCACGCATTCTGTGTGCATTCAATCCATTATGAGCTTGTACACATGCAACAATAAAATGCATTTTAAATCTTAATTGCAGTTTGAAATGAACATGCAGACTCAAGGCAATGGTTTGAAATTTCCTGACATCTTGCAAATCTTTTGTATCCCAAAATTCATTTATCGTAAAAATACACGAAATGTGCAGTTTTCATATCACTATAACAACTTCTGCTTAATTGTGAAAAAGTTGCATTTGCAAAAATATTGATTGTTGTTTGCACGATAGTGGTAACACATACTTAACTACAAAACTCTCCCATTCCAATTAAGAATTATTTTATGCACATTAAAATACAGTGAAATCAAGTGCTAGGCTAACAATAATAAAATAAACTAGATGAAACTAAGTGCTATTATTTATACATATTTAGAACAGTGATCTATAATTATCATATTCAGTGCCTTAATATTTCATCTAAGTACAAGTGATTTGATTAAAATTTTCATTTTTCAAAAAGGATTTGTGAGTGAAAAGAAAACATGTGAATATACACTCACTTTTTGTAGTGCATTAAAAGGCTGAGTGTACTAATATAAATTAGTTTTTTTCAAACAAATTATGGAAAAACTCTTAAGCTGTAATTTCCTTTTAAGCAATCAAATATATTTTAATAATATGAGTAAAATAATTTAATATGAAATACATCCAGAAACTAATTATAATTTTTAAATAAATTACATAAATGTTATTAAGTATTAAAATTACAGTTAAAAAAAGTAAAATAGATTTACTACTTTTTTCCTTTCTTATCAACTTTATTTTTCACATACACTTAAACCAACAGATTAAAGAAAAGTCCAAACAAATAACAGAACGAAACTCGCAGATTTCATTCAGAGAACAATAAATGCACGGCTTGTTAAATAATAGTGCTTACAAAACCCTTAATTCAAGGATTTTAAGGTACAAAATATTTATTACTGACTAATTATTATTATGTAGTGACATTTTCTGCCATAATTATAAATTCTAAAACATTTTTTTTTCAGCTGAGATACTTTTTCAAAAAAATCAAACACTGATTTTAAAGAAGGTGTAGAGGAAACCACGTTAGACTACAGTTACACACACACACACACACACACACACACACACACACACACACACACACACACACACACAAAAAAAAAAAAAAAAAAAAAAAAAATTTCCTCTACACCATATACAACAAAATGGGATTGGAAAGAAATTACTAGAAACTATCTCCATCAGATATTGCAGATGCTTTTTCATCTGCGAAAGAACTATTTGGATATAAATGCATTGAGCAAAATGGTTACTTCTTACTGCAAATTTCATAATTCAGCTTATTTATTTTTTGAAAAGTGCAAATAAAAGTTAATTAAATCTGCATCCTCCAATCTCTGAATAACATTTATATCAGATTCTAAATTAATAAGCTCTATTTATGGAACGTGCACGAGACAATTTTTAATGACAATAAAAACAATATAAACTCAGACTTCATATAATTAATATCTTAACTTGTACCCTAATTTGCAGCGAATACATTACTGAAATGTGTTCACGGGCTGCATAAAATTGCTTCAGGAGCCATCAATTTGCTTAGAGAAGATGTACAGATTTTACTTAAAACATGTTAGAAATAGCTGTATAAGAATAAAATACTTTTGGAAGGAATCCTTCCCAACTTACTCTTAAAGTAGACAAGAAATTATTTCTCAAATTTGTATGTATAGACATAAACAGAGGGTCACGACAAGTGATCATAACCATTCCTGCTGTTAAACTACGAATCATATGATGAGCAGAAATTCTCATTCGTGATTCTTCAGGGTCTAGAGCAAAATCCTACAAGAAAGGAAAATTCATTACTTTTCATAATATTTAAAAAAAAAAGAATTTATATACAGAAACAAATCAAATGAAATTAAAATACCTTTTTAATTATTTGTTCACAGCTTGTTAAAGAAATTTTAATGGATCTATCAACAACTGGAGCCATCCATTCCTGAACAGCTCTTTCTACAGCAAGTCTAACACATTGCTTTAATGCTGCATGGGCTTGAAATAAAGGCAACTGGAAAACAGAGAATCGTAAGCAAACAATGTAAACAAAAATAATTTTTTAAAATGGAATTGCAAAGTGGAATATATTTAACAGTTACTTCATAAGAAAAATCCTTTTGTCATACAGTGGAACCTCGAGATACGAGTTTAATTTGTTCCAGCATTGAGCTCATATAGCGAATTTCTCGCATCTAGAAAAAAACTTCCCCATTGAAAATAATAGAAATTCAGTTAATCCGTTCCCCACCCCCAAAAAATTTCATTGCCATCTTCTCTTCAGTCGACGTACCTGGTGTTTTTCGGAAAAAGTCCAAATACAGATTCTTAGCCTTAGCACAAATTATAGCTTACGACACCGAAGCGCCTTTTAACCTGTTTCTCGTTAATGTACACTAACAACAGCTTCTTAACATCTTCTAGGAGTTTAGACGTTGCTTGGATGTAATGGTAACTCCATTGGCCACATTAAGTTTATTAATTTCTTCCTTCTTCTTCAGAATTGTGTAGATAATTATTCTTCTTTAGAACTGTGTATATAATTATTAAGTCTTCACCAATTCCGTCATTCTTACACCATACTTTTGTTTATCTATGATTTATTTCTTAATTTCAACGACCATGGCTTCCTCCTTTTTCTTTTCAGCACTATCTGAGGCAACAAGCTTCTTGGGAGGCATCATAAAATAATTATTTCCCCATTAAAAGTAAAAAACTATTAACTTACAAGCATACAAACACGTAGATCAAAGAAAACTGAGTGATCTGACGAGGGAATTACCCGAGCCGGATTAGGAAACTCGTCATGCATACGAAGTCCGGCTCATTGTTTGAATCAATGCTCATATTTAGAGACTAATTTTTTGCTCACGCTTTCCTCGTATCTCGGATTCCTCGCATATAGAGGTGCTCGTATATAGTTTCCACTGTAATTTCATTAAAAAAACATGCATGTTAATATAGATTTACCACAATATTTTTTGCTCATAGAGAGACAATTTTTGCAGCAATACTCAATTTAAAGAATAAAACTTTATAGGATAAGTAACTATCTGAAAAATCTAAATAAAGAAGTTGTTCAAAAAACAAGAGTTACAAGAAATTTTTAATGACACAATTGAAAATGCCTTATTAAGAAGTTATTCACATTTATCACTGTGAACTTAAAATCTTAAAAGGGCAGTTCATATTTTACTTATTACAGAATTTTTAAAAAAATGGATAATCCTATTTTAATTCATTGGTTAAGACACTTTCTTTTTTGAATTTTAGAAATTAATTTAAACTACAAAATAATTGCAAATGAAGACTCCTGATTTGAACTCTAAATGCGCAATAATGATGTGATCAGTGCAAGTTACACTTTTACAATTAATAATCAAAAGAAACTATGTAATAAATTAAATAAAAATATCTGGATCTCGAAGGCATTATGCTATTATAAATTCTGGGAAAAAAATCTGCATTACAGAATACAGCAACTAAATTCATTAGGCCATATGCTATAATTTTGGAAAAACATATTTAGGCAACGATAAAAGTACTTAAGCTCTAGATGCAAAATATTTAGATTTGGCAACAGCGAGTTTAAAAGAGTGGATATTTAAATTTCCAAATTACTGTTTTATACCCAAGCTCGCACTTCTTTTACTTCTTGCATATTCAGCACTTAAAAAATTTTACGAAATAACTAGGACAAAATGATAAATTGGGATGTAGGGGTCACTTCAACAAACTGGCACTGTCACGGTCAAAATGGGACTTCTGGAAGCCTATGCGAATATAAATTACACATGTAATTATGCAAAATACTTTTTACAGTCAAAAGCCGTTAATTCGGAATGATCTATAATCTGTACATCAAAACTAAAAACTTTCTGCGCATGCGCCGCGTTGACACATGCGCAGAGGCGTTCACGCGTGCGCGTAAGACCTTTTACGACTGCGCATATGAGTGTGCGCAAGTGCAGAATACATTTTAGCGTGCGCATTTTATGTATAATGGACGTATAAGCTAAAATTATCTAATTATCTATTTCAGTTAATGTTGATGATTGCGTTGTTCCTTAATTTTCGAATTGCATCTGGCTTATTATTTTTGCAGACTGTAGAGCAATTTTATAAAGGTAAGCTTAAACTTTCGATTATATCAAAATAGAATTCCGATATATATTTGTTAATATGTAAACGATCTAAAGCGAAAGTATGTTTTGAAATCCGAAATCTGGTTATCAATTTCACGCTGCTCGGCGGCGGGGCGCGTAATGAATTGGAAGTTGATTTGTCAGCACTATCCTTATTTCAGCGCAGATGTTTTTATTTGGCTTATAATTCCTTACCCAAATGTAGTATTTCATCTCGATATGCTCCGTCTTGATATGATTTAAAACAAGTCCTCGTCATTATAATTCGCTTCCGATAGCGAAGACGAAGAAACGGACAGAGGTTATTGAAAACAAAAAAATTTCGATTGACAAATTAGTCGGTGTTCTTGACACAGCAATTATAGGACTTGAACGGCGGAACCTTGTAACTGAACAAGAAATTATGTCTGTTTAATAGAATTAAAGAGAAAGTATTATCACATGAAACGAAGCAAAAACTTAAACAACTTACATTGAAAGAAATGTTTAATAAAGTAAACAAATAAATATTAAGCTTTTTCTTTTTGCAAATTTTGATACCCTTTAGATCATAATTGTTCTTTATTTCATAAATTACGGTTTCATATTTTTAATTTTAGAATTTCTGCATGCCATCTTACGAGATTTAAACTGATGATCTATAATCCGGAAAAATCGATAATCCGGAATCGCCGAAGTCCCGATGAGTCCGGATTAACGACTTTTGACTGTATTATGAATTTTTCACACATACTTTAATCATTTAATGCTAATTAGTAAAAATTTCATCCCTGCTTTTAATTTTATATTCCATTACACCACAGACAAAAAATTGTATGCCATTTTCTTGTGAACATGTTTCTGCTTGAGATAAATCCAGGTACTTGCCAAACCTAGTTAGCATTAACCACTGCATAGTGCACATATATATATATACATAGAGAGAGAGATTATATATATATATATAATAATAATTTATTTCCTAAACAGTATTGATTAATTGATTATATTATCTCCCAAGTTTAATTAAAGTAGAATTATTTTAAAAATGTGCATCCATACTGGTAAGTTATATTTTGAAAGATGTTTTGAAGTAATTTGAAAGCAAAATGTTAATATATATATAAAGGTTTATGGATGGTAAATATTTAAAAGCTTACTAATTCTAAGGTTTAATCGGGAAGTTAAATTCAATACATCAGTTGATTTATATATATGTGAATGCTTTAATTTTCAGAATCAGCTGTGTTTCAAAAAGTAATAATTACGTGCCACTCAGATGCTCAAGAACATAAAAATTAAATCTTCCTAATACCAAGACAATTCTTCAACTTGGAAATGCATGAATGAATTCCCTAAAATGCTGAAACTAGGGATACTTTTCAAGCAATTAAGGTTTGGAGCACAGCATAGTTCAAATAATTTCCAGAGACATTACGCACAGTTCATAAATGAATTTTTGTGTAATGCTTGAAAACATTCCACTAGTTGCATCATTTTTTTACTAATTAAAACAACATGAAAGTAAGTACTTATATGTTTATTTTTATATTAAATTAGTTAAGTTCCACTGCTGTTTTTAAGGATATATTTTTCTCATCGTTAGCTGAGCAAAGTTAATGAAACTAATTTTGAAGTTTCAACCTCAATATCAGGAATATTGTTGATGTTTGTGTGCAGGCTTATTTTCACACTCAAATAAACAGCATACAGAAGCCACCTCTTCAAAAGAAACAATACAAAATCAAATCATTTGTAACAGGAACATACATTCAAGTTATTAGCACATTCAAATTTATAAATCAATCCCTTGTGCATAATGCGTATCCTAAAACTATGAAACATTAAATTTTACACACATCTCCATTTTATTCTTGCATCTAGTAGTGATACTAGATGCAAGTTAAAAGCAATTATCTTAACTATCCCCCATTTTCTCTACAGAAGAAAGTATGCTAAATTTTTTATTTAGATCTTCTAATCATGTTTGAGAGTACACCACCACACTGTTCATTTTATATTCTGTTATTATGTAACACTTTTATTAAATACAGCTGAGATTTTATTTCAATATGTGAGAAAAAGGATTCTTTCCCCTCCATTTAAATTTTATGCATTTAGATAGATAAGCTACTGTATTTTCCAGCATATAACACGCATTTATATTTTAAAGTTTTTTTTTTAAATGTTTATTTGCCATATCACCAGGGCTGTGGAGTCAGAATAAGAGTCGGGCAGATTTGAAGGTAAAAGGAGTCAGAGCTGGAATCGCTAAAAACAAGTCAACTCAGACTCCAACTCCAGTTTTCGTCGGACAGTTTGAATTTGAAAAGAAATTAAAGTGAATTGGGGGAAAAAAAAAAAAAAAAAAATGACAAACTGAGTTACTTTTATTTATGGACTAAATACATTATTAATAAGTTATTTTATTGACATATTAATAAATAAATATAAGGGAGGAGGATGGATGTGATATTTGCCATTAGTGATTAAACTAATTCATTTAGTTACTTTTACAAGTTACAAATTTAGTTATAAATCTCACTGGTAAATTTAGGTAAGCAGCAAGAACTTCCAAAATTGATGCCATTAGGAAGGGAGCAGGAAATGGAGCAATTATTGATCAAGCAACACGATGAGGAAGTACATATTTGATAATATAGAGGCTGTTAGAATTAAGAACTTTTTTAGAAGATTTAGATAACCCTAATGTTTCACTAACAGAAAGGCTGTGGGATGATCTTTTAGAATTGGAAACTCTTCTTTCTGCAGCATATATCCACAAAAAAGCTACTATCTGAAGAATTACCAGGAGGAGAAAATGGAAGAATGTGATGTTTGTTCTTCCTGAAATGGAAGGTTAATTGCAGAAGGAATCATTTCTTCAATG